TTAGCATGCCTCAGAGTGGGAGGTAGTGTTGGCACCGAACTTTGTCAGCCAGTCTCTTAGAGGACCTTACTGGAGTTTGTGATTGAGCTTTTACTTCTTCTGTTAGTATTCTGCTGAGACATATACTCTAATGATAGCTGCCACTCTGGGGTGCAGAACTTTCCATATAGATTGCCTTAAAAATAAAAGCGCATTTTCTACACATGCATGCTGGGGAAAACTCTACTAAATATTCAGTAGTTCCATCAAATGCCTTTTATCCATTTGTAATACTTTAGCTTTCTGCCTTTTCATCTTATTACTTATTTTCAGGCAGAATAGATATAGAGGCTTCTTTCTGCGTTATAGTCTTCACCGACTTAAAGGCATCAGGAAGTAGCCCTTGTGATTTTCCTTGCTATTATTCTTCCCATTTTTCCACCGCCTCCTGTAAGCACATACTTTGTGTCAGGTATTGAGAGATACAGAGAGAAAAGGCATAGTTTTCTCCCCTTGAGAGGCTCCTGGTCTACTGGAGGAAACAGACAATTCCAGCACAATATGATAAATACAATGATAGCAGTTAGAACAAGAAGCCATGGGGGCAGAGAGGAAGAAATCAGCTTTGGGTGGGAGTGGAGTGGGTAGAAATATTGGAGAAGGGCTTCTCAAAAGAGGTGATGCCTAAACTGTGCCTCAAGTGACGAATAGTAGTTATCCAGGTAGAGAATCCAGGCAAGGCTTATCCCTGGAATGATAAATTGGAGGACCTGCTGAACTTTTGTCAAGGCTGGTAACAGTGAAGTGAGGACTAGATCAGGAAGAGGTTTTTATATAATGCTTCAAAGTTTGCATTTAATTCTGAAGTTGATAAAGAACCACTGAACAATTTGAAGCAGAGAATGACATGTTATTCCCAGACATGTTAACAGTGAGACAATTAGAGTCATTTCTAGTCCTTGGAATAAAAATAACAGTAGTTTCCTAGTGGTTCAGCAAGGTATGTTTTAAATTTTGTCATCTTTTTAATGAAACAGCTTAAGGCTTCCTTTCTAGTCTGTTACCTTTTCCCCCTAATTGCATAATGTATATATTTTTAGAGCTTTTCATAATCAGGTACCACCTATTCATCTGATCTTAGTTCCTCTGCTTTGTGACATGTAACTTTTACTCTAGTGGAGTTGGTGCCCTCATCAAATATTCTAAGACAGAAGGAAATGTAGGCATTCTCTGGGTAGGTCTGTTTAGTACCTAAGAAAATGCAGGAAATGAGAGTGTGTATATATTGAGCTTCTACTATGTGCCATACACTTTGCTAAATACAGGGAATGCATTGGTTACCATATCAGAAACACACAACCCATGTGTTTATGATGCTTAGTTTAGAGAATCGAAACAGTGCCATCCCTGGCAACCAGAGGGTACAGAACTACAATTTCAATCCAGTTTATGGTCATAGGTTCTTGTACATTAATTGACATGACAAGTATATCTCACTCCAATTTTGATATGAAAAAATGTTCCCCCCTTAAGTATCCTTCAACTTTCTCTGTGCATGTTGGTGGCAGCAATTATGTCTCAAGGTCTGTCCTCCATGGTCTACCGCTAAAGATACAGTGGTTATTTAGTACATTTACATGGGCTTTTGTTTCTAATATTCTAGTATAGCTAATCAATTCATATTAACTTGGCTTTTGCATTAGAGGATAAGAAAGGTGGAGAATAGGTTCATCTCAATTTCTGGCTCTCAGTGACTGGTAGTTAACTTCTGGGAGCACTACCTTGAGAGGATTCTGAGGCTTCATCTGGGTTGAGTGGGAGTAGAATATAAATACATCGATTGATGATGAATGCCATCTGCTGGGAAAGGAGGATAGAGGCACTTATTTGCCGACATGGCTCTAAGAAATGGGAGAGCTGCTATCCAGTTGTGTGTGAAAAGATTAACTGGCAACTAGAAACTTAGAAACTACCCATTGACTAGTTCTGGCTTGGAGAACTATGGCCTATACTTGCCAGTTCATATCTTATGTCTCTGCCTGGGTCTGTCTATGTCAAGTTATTATTTATTAACTTAGTAGAAGCTTAGTAGACTCTGTGAAGATGATAAAGCCTGAAACAGCAAGCCTGTGATAGACTGTGATAGACTGAGCCTTTATAGTATCCTTAATGCTCCAGAAACTTGATTGACTGGAAACTTTTTCTCTTTCTTTTTATTTTTTATTTATTTATTTTTTTTTGAGGTGGAGTCTCACTCTGTTGCCCAGGCTGGAATGCAGTGGCATGATCTCTGCCACCCGGGTTCAAGCGATTCGCCTGCCTCAGCCTCTCGAGTAGCTGGGATTACAGGTGATTACCATCACGCCTGGCTAATTTTTGTATTTTTAGTAGAGACCAGGTTTCACCATCTTGGCCAGGCTTGTCGTGAACTCCTGACCTCATGATCTACCTGCCTTGGCCTCCCAAAGGGTTGGGATTACAGGCGTGAGCCGCTGCGCCCAGCCTGGAAACTTTTTCTCTGAGATACACAAATACATTGCAGCCTGTTCCTGATCAACTGTTTAAGTGGAATAAAAGTCCTAAGAAAGTTCTTCTTGAGAAGAATAAAATTGAGACCTCTACTCTGAACAAGTATGGAACATTCAATAAGGCAAAGGGTCGGAAATCTTGCTTAACTTCTTACTGTTCCCATCTGTAACTGGGCATAAACCTATATGATCATTTTCCTTTCACAAAGAATCCATCAAGTAAATACTCGTTAAAGCCTATGCTTAACTTGAGCACCAGTAGTAATGACTCGCATTATCAGTGGGGCTCTTGGGCTGGCACTCATGGCTCTGTGATTCATGAGGGCAGAGTAACTGACTGGCTTACAGCTGTCTCTCTTTTTCTGGCTGGACTGCCTGCATGCCTAGATCACTGAATGGCTTTTTTCAGAAGGAGGTATGGACTAAGGATTTTGCTACTTCAACATCAGTTTCCTGGATCTTTTCTTCTACTCCAGCTTGCCATATGTCCCTTTTATCTTTTCCTGGCCTCTCTCTTACAAATAGGGCCATAGATCAGAGAGGATGGCCCCATCTGGTGAAATCTAGCTTTCAGATATGCTTCATTTGACCCATAGAGTGTTGGATTACACAGAATTTTAAAAATTTAATTAACTGTCAACATTGTACTATTGGTTTCAACTTTATCTGGAGTTTTTTTAACCTTTATTTTGAGCTCTAGAACTTGGACATTTTCTGGCTCCTGCCTTGCAAGTCTGAACCTCAGTTCCAGTTTTCTACTTCTGGTGCTTAGTCTTTTATCTTTGGCAGATCCTGACCACTGTTAACAAAATATAAAGCATGAAAATGGTGACATCCATCCGATGCAGCATTTGGGACTTTGAGCCCCAGGTTTGGTGTCAGCTGTATCTCAGCAGGTGGAGTTAGTTTGCCGACCCTTGTTAGCAAGACCAGAGATGCAGATGTGGCTCTGTTCATGCCAGATATTAGGTTCTTCTGACTTTGGGATCTAAGAGGACCATCTGCTGCCACATTTGTGCTTGGACTTCACTGTCGGAGTTTGATCAATGGCATCCTGTGATAAAAATTGATGTTCATGAATATGAATCTAAATCTGAGCAAGTGTTTGCTGTGTGTACATCTCATAAATGTCACATTAGGCAATTAAGTATATACAATTTATAAATAAATATATATAATTTATAAATACATATATGAAGTTCATAAATAAATATATATGACCTATAAATAAATGTATAAAGCTATGATTTTATAGTTTATTAAATCCAGAGTTTTTCTTTTGTTGTAGCCCTGCCTCTTAGGCTTGACAATTGGCTTAGAAATTATCCTCAGTGACAATCTTTCTTTTTCTTCTTTTTTTTGTCTCACTCTGTCACCCAGGCTGGAGTGTAGTGGTACGATCTCAGCTCACTGCAACCTCCATCTCCAGAGTTCAAGCGATTCTCCCACTGCAGGCTCCCAAGTAGCTTGGATTACAGGCATACCCCACCACACCTGCTAATTTCTGTATTTTTAGTAGAGATGGGGTTTCATCATGTTGGCCAGGCTGATCTTGAACTCCTGGCCTCAAGTGATCCACCTGACTCGGCCTCCCAAAGTGCTGGGATTACAGGCAAAAGCCCCTTTGCCCAGCCTGAATCTTTCCTTCTTAATAACTCCATGCTATACTGTCTGTTGGTTTATTCTGGCTTTTCTCAGTAAATAACAAAATTAATGGTGATCACTACCACTTACTGAGTGCTTATCAAGAGTCAGAAACTATGTAAAGTTCTTTTATATGTGGGACCATCATCTCCTTTGTTTCTTACAATCCTATGAAGTAAGATATTATCTACATTCTACAGTAGAAGAACATAGGGTGAGACAAGTTAAATATCATGCCCAACATAACACGGTAAGGTGTCCAAACTCTAGTTAGGGTGCCTCCAAAGGTCATGATCTTAACCATGGCGCTATACTGCTACTTCAATCTAACATCTAATTTAATAAAGATATGAACATTTGGTAAGCACCTATATAGTTAGGAGCCATTTCAGATTTTAAAAGGTGTAATTAATATTTCTTATTCATAAGGTGTTTGAAATCTATTGAAAAGACCAGACTTGTGCTATACAAAGATAACAAAGTTGAGAGTTTTAAGTGACAGGGAATGGAGTGGACAGTTTAGAGGAGGGAGAAATCACAGCAGGCCCAAGTCATCGGCTGCCTGAGGGAAAGAAGGGAAGTGGGGCAGAGACAGTGGGATGTGTGATTCCATAGAGACCCCAGAAGCAAGATTCTTTCACAACACTTCTTAGTCATTATTTTACCCTGAGTAGGAACGTTACACAATAATAAGATTAGCCCAAAAGTTTTATATAGAAGCTGTATCATCCTGGAAGCTGAAGAGAAAAAGTTCATTTCATTATTTTCTATTGTCAAAGGATTCAATTTGGGAGGGAGATAAGTATGTATTTTTTGCTTGTTGTGAGTAAACTACTTTGCAGTTAGGTGTACAGTGGAAAAGCTTTATTGAGATTTGTTGCCAACTCTGCTCCACTCACAAGTACCCCAATACTGGCTTCTCCACCATTCCATTTCTCCAACTTCAGAAAATGTCCCCAGCGTCCTTACTTTCAAACCTTCTCCACTGATGTGGAGTGGATCATCGGTGCTCAGGCCTCAAGTCACAAACCTGTGAATGGCATAGTCTTATCCGCTGACCTGGTGTTTTTTATTGAAGTTGTCTTCTATGCAGATACTTTAAAAATAAGAGAAAAGAAAGACCAGGTGGTAAACCTCCTATTCCTTGGCAGGAGAAATACTGCCAAGAAGCCATCTGGGTACTCCAGGGCACATGCCTACATCCCCTCATTCTTTCTAGTTCCCTTGCTGGAGTGCATAGGGATGGGGCATTTACAATAGAACATGTGGAAACACATTCTCAGAAAGGTGAGAACAGAGTGGCTTGGGATAAGATGGCAGAGGGAGAGAAGAAAATATTTCTCTGAGTGGGGACTATCTCTAATTCTTAGTTTATTCTCATACACCTGCCTTCTAACTCAAATACCTTGGAAGAATTTGAAGTAATAAGTGCATCATGTAGGGTTAGAATACTCTCTCTTTTTCCAATCAAGTGGGTTGGGCAATAGGGCAGACAGCTTCCTCATTGGTAGGTAATAAAAGGATTCTGATTTATCAGATTGTGGGATCACCAAGTACCAGAGTAGCCCGGGAAATTCTCAAATGGATTTGAAAATCTTGGTGAAGAGGCATCATTTAGAGAGGCTGGAGAGAAGAGAAAGGTACTGCAGCCTAGGAAACCCAATAAACAAAAATACAGAAGCAATAACACCTGGGTTCATACGGGAGCCTTTGAGGTGATCCCTAAGTGGGGAGGTATAGACATCCATTAGAAATGGATTGTACAGGAGGTGAAGGGCTTTGCACAGCAAGATGGACTTGGGTGTGGTTTTTGTGCATGACTAAGGGGTTTCTGCTTTGTGTGTAGGCATGAGCTACAGGAGGGCCTAGAAATTGCCCTCTCTGGAGCATATCCTTACCCCAGTGCAGTCAGAGAGATAAGGGCTCAAGTCCTGTTTATGCATTTAATAGCCTACATGATCTTGGGCAAGTATGTATCCCTGCTGAGTCCCATGTCTGTAAAATGGGGCTAATGCTACCTATTTCATTTGCTTATTGTATATGATATAAAACAGTGTTTGCAAAGTACCTGGCACATGGTAGACTCTCAATTTTTGTTACATTGTTCCGGCTCTCAGCTTGTCTTACTCCTGGTATTGTTCCTGTATGTCTCTGTATTAAAGATCATGGAGGAATACAAGTATATTTTTTTTTCCTGAGAGGCTTTGTCTTAACTCTGAGATTCTTTCCTCAGCTGTTTTACTGTCTGGTCTCCTAAGCATGAGTTATGTGTCCAAACAGTAGTCTTTACAAGCCCATGGGTAGGATAGTAAGACCAGCTTGTCACTGTTTGTGACTCTGTTTCTGTACCTCCCAGCCTGTGTGACATCTTCCCCCATAGGGAGTCATTTCTACTTTGTCTTTAATTTCTCCTCGCCGAGGCAACTTGTCAGCCAAGGCTGCTTTCTGTCACTTGATGCCACATCTCTTCCTAGTTCAGCCAGCCATTTGGGGACATTCATTTAGTTGACAGTCTGATTTTACAGACAACATTGTACCAGACACTAATTTGCCTTGTAAGGGGGTCCAGCAGGGTTTCCTGCCTCCATGCTGACCCAAGGTGCCAGTACACTTCTGCATGGCTGTGGCTGTGGTTCTGCACAGAGCAGGTGGGGAAGGTGAAGATATTAACAATGGAGAGTCCCAGTTGAGCATCACTGGGCTACAAGTCCCTTACCCTCCTGTCCTTTTCCTCTTGGTAGAAAAACCTTCACAGAACCTCAGTTCAGGACCCTGTCCATTTCCAACAGAAACTCAACACCACAGGCGATGAAGATATAGGATTATTTCTTCCTAGTTTTGTGTGCCAGTTTAGAATTGTCGTGTCCTACTATGTCTAACATCCCGTTTGATCTTGACAACAGCCCTGTGGGGTGGGAAAGAGGGACAGTTTGTAGAACAGATATCCAGGCTCTTACCTTTGGAATAAATAAAATGGGACTCAGAAGGGTTATTCAGCTGTCAGTGAGAGTGATGTTGGCTTTTTATTCACAACAGTGAAAATTCCGTATAAATAGACAGGTAATTTCAGGGCCATGGAGTAGATACAGCACTCACCTTCAAAGAGCCTTTGAGAGAAGTCTGGTTATCTCTGTCTGGCCAGTTTCTGGCCCTTGATTCTCTTACCTATCTCTTCAGAAATCTTCATTCCAGCTATTCATCTTCCCTCCCAGTCTCAGTCAGGTACCCTTCTCGCAGAAGAGTTCCTCTTCACTGCTCTTGTATGTTGTTAAAAGCCTTTTTTTGTTTTTCCTCCTTTTTATTCTGTCCCCAGCCTCCTGTAGGAATGCCTGATCTGTCTTTCTGTGTATTGTTCCATGGAGCCAAGCCTCCTTCTGTCCCTTTGGGATGACCTATTGTTATACATTAATAATTAACCTTTACTAGGAACTCTAGTCATAGGCATTTAACCCAAATGCAGAAAAAGCCAAAGTTTGTTTATGACAAAGAGATCTCACACGCTGAGGTATAATAGCGAGGGTTAGAAAGGAGAAGCTGACGCTCATTAAACTTTTATGATTTCTTTTCTGGTTTACTCACTTGAGTGATTGCCTGAGGATCCTGCAATATTTCCCTTTGCACATGGTCAGCCCAGTTTAGCTAAAATGAAACATTCCGCTTTTGAATTGTGAAATTGAGCATGCATGACTTTCCATGTAATGTTAAAGATAAGCTTCACAGGTGCTGCTAGTGGGGACTGGTTCAGAGCATGTGGACCCTGGGGCTCAAATGCCTAGGTTCGAGTCCTGCTCTGCCACTTATCAGCTGTGTGCCTGTGGGCTGGTTCCCTAACTACTCTCTGTGTTCGTTTTCTGCATCTGTAAAATAAGGGAATGATTACAGGTATCTCAAATGGGTGTTGTCTGTATCTAATGGGATGGAGAGGTGTTAAATCCTTACTACGGTGCCTGGTAGTAGGTGCTGAATAAGGGTTAGTATCATTATTTTCAATGTTATTGACTATGGTTAGGTCCATGGTCAAGGTTACATAATAGCGAGTCATTTTCAATGCTTCGTCATGGTTATATATCACTCTTACAATACCCATTAGAATGCAAACTGCTTTGCTTGATTCTCTCCTGCTGATGGGAGATGGGAACTAATTCTAAACTTGGATATGAGGGATTATATGATATGTGCTGGAATGACCCATCCAATTAACTTTCTCTCACAGATATGGACAGATGAGGCTTATTTTAGAAATTAGCCGTTGTTGTTTTGGAGATGATAATATAACCTTTTCAGGGCCGTGGAAAGAACAAAATGAGATTAACAGTAATGCTCCAAATAGCTGTGACTTTTGTGCCCTGATGATATCCCATTCCTAAGTGCTTTACATGTTTTAAATCATTTTATTATTACAAAATAGTTTGTTTATTCCTATATTCCCAATTTCAGGAGAGGAAACAGACACAGAAAATTTACTTTGCCAAAGTCACATAGCTTATAAGTAGTAAATGTGGAATTCAAACCTAAATCTGGGTCCTGACTTAGAATTTGAATAAGCTAATATAAAGAAAATAGCAAAGTAGTTGATATGCTCAATATTCAGATCCTTGTCTATTTCCCTTCCATTGTTTTCTGCTTATTAAGTTTTTATGGATATGACATTGCTCAGAGATCAGAGCACCAAAAACCATTCTAGGGTACTATATCAAATTTCAGTTCAAATAAGAGTAAAACTTTTGTGAAATTCTAATTTCAGGGAGAAAGATTAATTTCTGCTTTTAGATGGATTGTACCTGGTTTAGAAAATCATAACAGACTTTTTTTTCATAGGTTATTGGGGTTCAGGTGGTGTTTGGTTACATGAGCAAGTTCTTAAGTGGTTATTTGTGAGATTTTGGTGCACTCATCACCCAAGCAGTATATACTGCACCCTATTTGTAGTCTTTTATTCCTCACCCTCATCGCACCTTTTCCCTCAAGTCCCCAAAGTCCATGTATCATTCTTATGCCTTTGCGTCTTCATAGCTTAGCTCCCACATATCAGTGAGATCACACGATGTTTGGTTTTCCATTCCTGAGTTACTTCGCTTAGAATAATAGTTTCCAGTGTTATCCAGGTCACTGCAAACGCAATTAATTCATTCCTTTTTATGGCTGAGTAGTAGTCATATATATGTGTGTCTGTGTGTGTGTATATATATACACACACATATATACACACGCATATATATACATATATATGTATGTGTGTGTGTATATATATGTATGTGTATATATATATCACAGTTTCTTTATCCACTTGTTGATTGCTGAGCATTTGGGTTGGTTCCATGATTTTGCAATTGCAAATTGTGCTGCTATAAACATGTGTGTGCAAGTATCTTTTTCATATAATGACTTCTTTTTCTCTGGGTAGGTACCCAGTAGTGGGATTGCTGGATCAAATGGTAGTTCTACTTTTAGTTCTTTAAGAAATTTCCACACTGTTTTCCGTAGAGGCTGTTAGACAGTCATAACAGATTTTTTTAAACTGCCATCCTCACTTTCTCCACCTACCTACCCACTCTGCAGGACAGTGGCCATGGCTTTGCAGCAGTGTACACTAACCTTGGGTAGGGCACGGAGGCAGAAAGCTCTGCTGGACCTCCTTACAAGGTGAATTAGTATCTGGTTCAGTATTCTTTGTAAAATCAGACTCTCAACTAAATCAATGTCCCTGACTGACTGACTGACTGAAATAGGGCTTCAGGGTGTCTCATTCTACCACTATACAGAGGGCACATGCAATGTGGAAAAAATAAAAACAAAAACAGACCTCTGTCCCCACCAGCTTTTAACACTTAATCTTTTCTTTAAAGTAACACATCCACATGGTTGGAAAAAAGTCTAACACTATAAGAGGGCACAGTGAAAAGTAAGTCATCCTCCCATTCCAGAATATTAATCCCACAAATATACTCCCCAATGACAATTTTATAGTTACAAAGAGACTTTATGCTTACTGGAGCATATATACATATAATGCTCCCACACCCCCACACTTTTACACAATGATAGCATAATGCACCCTCCATCCTGTTCCTTGACAATTTCACTTAACAATGTGACTTGGAGAGCTTCCACATCAAAACCAAAAGCAATACCTTGTTTGCAAGGCCTGCCTAATATTCCATTATAAAGCTGTGCTGTCTGCTGTTGATGGTCATTTAGGTTGTTTCTGGTGTTTTACTAAGGATGCTTCAGTAAATCACTTTGTATGAGGTATGTGAATCCATGCAACTCAATCTCTCTTGATTTTTATTTGCAAGCTTATGTTGTATAACTTTCTGACAACACAAGAAATTGGCCAGGAGACAAGAGAAATTCTGTAGAAATATAGAGGCTTTTTTAGAGCTTGTGTGCACATCAGATGTTTCTTCAGATACTTTTTTGATTCCTGTGTCTCATTGTTTCTCATGTTGTTTTGAACTACGTCCTGAAGCTTCTTCTTGGGTCATTTTTCCAGGTGCCCAGTGAGTGATGGATAGATACTGTTTGCAAGATTGATTCACATGGCACTTTTGTTTGGCTTTTGACAGGTTGTTTATAAGAATAATGACATCCGTCTGGAGCTGTCTCGCCTGGCCCGAATTGGGGACACCAAGATGAAAATCTATGGCGAAGTTGTATTTAAGTGTGAGAATGTGGCCACACTAGACCCCATCAACTTCGAGACCCCAGAGGCTTACATCAGCTTGCCCAAGTGGAACACTAAGCGTATGGGCTCCATCTCCTTTGACTTCCGTACCACTGAGCCCAATGGCCTGATCCTCTTCACTCATGGAAAGCCCCAAGAGAGGAAGGATGCTCGGAGCCAGAAGAACACAAAAGTAGACTTCTTTGCTGTGGAACTCCTCGATGGCAACCTGTACTTGCTGCTTGACATGGGCTCTGGCACCATCAAAGTGAAAGCCACTCAGAAGAAAGCCAATGATGGGGAATGGTACCATGTGGACATTCAGCGAGATGGCAGATCAGGTGGGAAGAGGCAGGATGTGTGACTGAAACTAGACAAAAGCTGTAGCTTCTCAGTTTGTTTTTTGGCTTTATATTTCTTAATTTTTGCTCTTGCATGCTTGTTGATTCTTTTGCTACTCTCTTTAATGGCTGTTGTAAAATTATGTTTCTGAAAAGATGCCTGTCTCATAGATGGCTCACATTCTCCACTTCTCTCTCTTGTCACTCACTGCACAATTGTCTCAGTGATAGCTCTATAATCCTGGAGCTAAGGATGGTTTTACAAGTAGCATTTCCAGTGTTACCAGAGCAACTCTCATGTGACTGGCGTGATCTGCCCCCATTCCCCCATTCTTTGCTTCTCTTTTTCCTCATCACCATGGAATCCGATTGTGACGTCATTATGTGATTATTCTGTAGGATAAACTTCACTGTGCAAGAGTTTATGCAACAACACACCCTTCAATAATTGGCAAGAGTCATGTTGCACGGAGAAATTATGACAAGAAAGGAAAAGGCAAATTGATTTTTCCTGAAGATACATTCAATTTAAAGCCTTCCTTTGGTGTAAAAGCCTATATTTCACTCTTTGTTCAGACCTCACTAACTCTCTCTTCCTCTTCATAACCTTTTACATTTTGTTTAAATAGCTTCATTTCTGCAGCTGCAGATCAAACAAGCTAGCCCCAGGCAGTACATAGCTACTATGGAATAGTAACAAAGTGGGGGTAGGGGTGGGGCAAAATAGTCAGGGATTTTTGAATGCCTGGATAGTCTGCCTAGCTTTCTCTGGACCATGTGGCAATGAAGGTCACATTCTGTGCTATCGGAAAGGGCATTTTCCCAAGAGCAGTAATTAGAGCATTAGCATTTCAGACTCATTTCCTGGTTCTCCATTTAGGTAGGATGTGTTCAAGAAGGGTCTTGGCTTCATGTGCCATATTTATAGAGATTCACTCTCCTGATGAACATTAAAAAGTCTTTATTTGGGTATTTTCTTTCTAGGTACATTTGGCCAGTAAGAGAGAGCAATAAGTTCCCCAAAAGGCTGAAACTGGGAGTGACTGAGCTTTGGTGGGTTGACTTTTCTGCATAATTCCAAAGCTAGGCTGATGGCAGAGATAGCAACATTGCCCTTAGGAAGAGCTGGATGGATTCTTTGCAGAGGGCAGACGGGTGGCAGATTGCAGCCCTGGCTATTTTATTGCCCCGTAGAAATCTTTATTGGTTGTCTGAAATCTGATCAGAACCAAGAGCCTTCAAATTAAATGTGCTCGTTAAGCAAGAATGAATAGTGTTCTTTTTACACGGAAAAACACCCCCAAAATTAATTTCTTTGGAGGCTAAATCCCGCCACACTCCCCATCCTTCTTCGTCTTCTTTTCTTTCTCTTTCTCTGTTTTTCAGTAAAATGACAGCAAGGGCAGAGTCAGAAAGCTGTTCCAGAATTATAAACAAAACATTGCTGTTGGTTTTTAAGAGCATGTGTTTGGGATCTCTGAGGTTAGGTCATGGTGGACGGGTTTTGTGTCTGACTAACCTAGACCTTGGCACAGCATAAAAGTTACCTACCCATGTCAGAGGTAGGCTAAAACACATAAAATTGCCACATGTTCATTTCTGTCTGCTCCTAATACAATATATTTTTTTCAAGTAGTGGAACAATTTTTGTTGTTTGAACCACCTGTGGACCCAACTTCAACAAATATGTTTGAATTTCAGAAGTCTTAAATTTCATACCTGGGAGCTAAAGCACTGGCTAATTCTTTTTTTTTTTTTTTTTTTTTTGAGACAGAGTTTCTCACTTGCTGCCCAGGCTGGAGTACAATGGAGCAGTCTCGGCTCACTGCAAACACTACCTTCCAGGTTCAAGTGATTCTCCTGCCTTACCTCCCAAGTAGCTGGGATTACAGGCACCTTCCACCATGCCTGGCTAATTTTTATATATTTAGTAGAGACAGGGTTTCACCATGTTGGCCAGGCTGATCTTGAACTCCTGACCTCAGGTGATCCACCCACCTTGGCCTCCCAAAGTGCTGGGATTACAGGTGTGAGCCACCGCGCCCGGCCTGGCCAGTTTTTTGAACTACTGATGAATTTGATCAAAGCCTATAAAAATGTACTGAGTAAACAAACAACTGTCCCACGAAAGCAGTATAATCTAAAATTTTAATACAATCTGTTAAACTTTCATTTTTTTCATGAGAATGTTTTCTGGTAACTTGTTTTAGATTATAAATCTATACTAAGGGGTAGTTATAAAAACAAGTGTATCTAAATGTGGTGCCTCCTTCCCTGCTAATCTTGAAGAATAATATGACTAACAGTGATCTAGAAAAACTTTTATAATCACTCCTCACCTGGGCAAGTGAGTCTTAGAACTTGTTAAGTGCACTCAAAACTGTTGTGGTCACACATTCAGAGGACAGATTTTCCTCAGGTTGTCTTTAAGGCTCTAAAATTTAAATTGATTCTAGTATTGTCTTTACTTGGCAATAGATGTCCCCCCGTTTTAGTTGGTGATCAGATTAGCCCTGTGGACATGTGAGGGGTAAAGATAGAAAACTATGCAACAGAGAAAATAGTAAGAGATACAGACCTCAACTTCCCCCTTTGTAAGATAGAGAAAATAATAACTCCTACCTCCCAAGATTGTTTTGAGGATCAAGTCCAAAAATGCACCTAAAATAGTTAAAATGGTGGCCAGGACATTATTGTTGTTATATGTGTTTGAAAGATTAAAAAACAAAAAGCGAAGCATATTTCTCTAGGAGAAAACTTCTAGGAGGGAGTAGGGAAGCAGATTGTTAAATTCCCCTTAATATCCTTTCTATGTTTCTATTCTTGTGTTGACTTTGTACTTTATTTATTTTTTAACTTTAATTAATTAATTAAATTTTTTGAGTGCTAGTCTCGCTCTGCCACCCAGATTGGAGTGCAGTGGCACGATCTCAGCTCTCTGCAATCCCCGCCTCCCAGGTCCAAGGAATTCTCCTGCCTCAGCCTCTCGAGTAGCTGGGATTACAGGTGCCTGCCACCACACCTGGTTAATTTTTGTATTTTTAGTAGACACGGGGTTTCACCATGTTGGCCAGGTTGGTCTTGAACTCCTGACCTCAAGTGATCTGCCCTCCTCGGCCTCCCAAAGTGCTGGGATTACAGGTGTGAGCCACTGCGTCCAGCCGACTTTGCACTTTAAAGTGTATATGTTTTATTCTTGATGTCGTTTGATTTTCACAGCCCTTCAGGTTATATACCCTTCATAGCTGAAGAAACTGAGAATGAGACAGAGGTGAAGGCTGACTGATGGATGGCATGACCCATTTATCTTGGTACCAATAAAGCACATCAAGAATAATAAATACCTATTTTTAAATTTCTGACAGGATGTTTAGATATCACCTAGTCCATTTCCTTAATTTTCTAGTTTGGGAAATTGAGCCATAAAGTGGTTCAGGGACTGGCCTAGGGTCATAAAGACATTTAGGACTAGAATCCCAGTTCTCAAGGTCCCAGGTTAGCTTGTGGAGTTTCATCTTCTACAATCTCATTCAATGCTGTCCAAACTCCATCCCCTTCCTGGGTCTGCTTATCTCTGACTTGATCTCCTGCTCACCTCCTCTTGCCTTCTCTGTTCTAGCCACACTACTTCCTACCTCAGGGCCTTTGTAGGTTCCATCCCCTCTGCCTGGCATGCTCTCTCTCCTGGACTTTGCATGGCTGCATCCTTCTCAACATTCTGGTTTCAGCTTAACTTTTACCTACCTAGAGAGACCTTCAGTGACTCTACATTTTAAAGTAGAATGCGTGAGTAGCTAGCACACCACCCATTTTATTCTTTTCCTAGCACCTGCCCTTAGCTAATTTATTTCATTTATTAGGTTACTTATTGTATTAGTCCATTCTCATGCTGCTAATAAAGACATACCCAAGACTGGATAATTTATAAAGGAAAGATGTTTAATTGAATCACTGTTCAGCATGGCTGGGGAGGCCTCAGTACATTTACAATCATGGTGGAAGGAGAAGCAAACACGTCCTTCTTCACATGGCAGCAGGAGAGAGAGAAGTGCAGTGCCAGCCAGAGAAATGCCAGATACTTATAAAGCCATCAGATCTTGTGAGAACTCACTCATTATCATGAGAACAGCATGGAGGCAACTGTCCCCATGATTCAATTCGCTTCCCACCAGGTCTGTCCCACAACGTGCAGGGATTATGGGAACCACAATTCAAAATGAGATTTGGGTGGGAACACAGCCAAACCATATCATTTATTTTCTGTCCCTCTGTTCTGGAACATCTGCTCAATGAGAGGAGAGACATGCCTATCAAGTTCATCTCAGTGCCTAGAACTATACCAGAGACAGAATAGGTCTTCCATACACCTTTATTAAATGATTAAATAAGGAATAATGTTTCAGTTAAAATGTATCACAGGGAATGCTCAAAATATTCACTGGCAGGGTTGGTAGTGAATGCCCAATCTAGAGAGTACCAGTGCATGGAGGGAGAGACAGAAGAGGAAATTCCATCTTTTGGGGGTTGGTGAGCCCTTGAAGAAAACCCAGGCAAACATACAGAGGCCTCATTCTGTCTCAGTCACTCTTAAAAGTACTTTGCATGTATTTGCTCATTTAATCACATCAACCTATGAGGTAGGGACAGTTATTTTCCCATTTTACAAATGAGGAAACTGAGGCACAGGAAGGTGAAGTCACTTCTTCAAGGTTATACAGCTCATACATGTTAGAGCTGGAATTTAAATACAGGCAGGAACTGTGCTGCTCTCAACCTGTATGGTCTCAGCCAAGAGGGTTAAGTAGAGAAAAGATACACTAGATGTCAGGTTAGTGAGACTTTCCTGGGTCTTCCTAAGCACCAGGTTGACTTACCTGGCAGAGATTGGAACCAAGCGGCCTACATTGTCTTTTCCATTGTCTTGTAACATCCAGTTTTCTTGCTTGCATTGTTCTCTCCTGGCCAGCCGATGGCTGGTCTCAGCACTCACCTGTTAGGCTTCTTTCATTTGGTTAAGCAACTGGCAGACTCACCTGAGATCTGTCTTCCCACCCCAGGTACTATATCAGTGAACAGCAGACGCACGCCATTCACCGCCAGTGGGGAGAGCGAGATCCTGGACCTGGAAGGAGACATGTACCTGGGAGGGCTGCCAGAGAACCGTGCTGGCCTAATTCTCCCCACCGAGCTGTGGACTGCCATGCTCAACTATGGCTACGTGGGCTGCATTCGCGACCTGTTCATTGATGGGCGCAGCAAGAACATTCGACAGCTGGCAGAGATGCAGAACGCTGCGGGTGTCAAGTCCTCCTGTTCACGGATGAGCGCCAAGCAGTGTGACAGCTACCCCTGCAAGAACAATGCTGTGTGCAAGGACGGCTGGAACCGCTTCATCTGTGACTGCACCGGCACCGGATACTGGGGAAGAACCTGCGAAAGGGGTGAGTCAGCCTGGAGGATGGCAAGTGAGGGCCTGAGTGGGGCTGGTGTCTTATAGTTGGATCCCTGGACAGTCCAAGCCTTTGCATCTACCTGCGCTTTCTTTCTTCAAAGAGTTTTTGGGTTTACTGATTTCCAGATTGCACCCTTTCTAGTTTTGAAAGCTTGGGTTTGTTTGGCTAAGACTGAGTTGCAGAAAGGGAAGCTTTATAATAAATATTACTGTGATTCTGATACTTTTTGATTAAATATTTTTTATTTAGAGAGGATAAATAGTTCTCTTTTAGGACTCCAAGGGGGCTAGCCAAATGGCTGTTTTATTCATTCATTTGACTTGTGCTTCTTTAGTGCTTTCTACAAGCTAACTCCTGGGTTCGGCTTTAGAAATACAATGTTGAACAAGACAGATTCATCTCTGTTTTATGGAGCTTGCTGCCTAGTGGAATACTTAGCCATTAAATAACTGATTACAAACATGGTGAGTTTTATAAGAGGCGGAGTGATGTATTGGTTAAGAACATAAACTCTGGGACCAGACTGGGTGAGAAATCTGGGCCTCATACAGTGATGGTAATTTCATCATGGTAGTCAATATCTCTGAGACTTGACTTCCTCATTTGTAAAATAGAAATGATGAGGCACCTACCTCACAAGATACTGATGATGATTAAATGAGTTAATATGTTCCTGAGCATTTAATGTTAGTGATTATTAAAGTCATAATTATTCTCATCAGCATCATTAAAGAGAAGGTATAGAGAAGCTTGGGAGGCCCTTGCAAGGAGACCCAACATACTATACAGGTTCACCATATAGTGAGCAACCCTGACACAGTTGAGGACCTGAACAAAGTCCAGAATGAACTGGATGCTTTGTTCCTTTCTGAAAAATGTCCAGAATGGAATTGGGGAACTGTGGGGATGGGGAAGAGGGGCATGAGAGGGGACCAAAGAGATGAGGGCTGACCCTGTAGGACAGGTCAGAATGGTGGGAGGATTCCCTTTTCATTCACCACGTCAGTATCTGACAGTTGCACCTGATTTACAGTTTAAGTAAAGGGCAGAGATAAAGGCAAGAAGAGGGACAACATCAACACAAGGAGATTCCTGTCAAGTTATTTTCAGATTGCAACTTGGTCTATTTTTTTATATGCTGAGCACACCGAATCAAGTCCACAGGCTGTCAGCTTCTAAATTCTATGAAAGGATAATTTGCATCAAGACCAAGTTTTTGCTAAGGGTATAGCTTTAGGGCTTTGAGAATGCTGTACCTGTATAGACATAGTTCTTGCCCTTAAGAAGTTTATCATTTATTTAGCTGAGGAGTTCAGACATCTATATAATAAGCTGTAATAAGATGATATAAGACAGTAGCATGTTAGTAGACAGAAAAGAAGGACATGGAGATTCAGAGAAGAGAAAATAAGGTTTTGAGGAGAGACCTGCAGGGTCTCATCTCTACAGACCAATGGCCAGTGGCCAGAAATTGTCCAAGTATCAGAAGATAGGTGATGTGGATGGATCCTGGGCCAGGCCTGGAACAAGGGCTGAATGACCAGTTTTCAAGGCGTGGTTTTTGTGAGGCCAACTGTGGGGCCAACTGTGTTACTAGCGAAGGTATATTTCAAGAGAACTACAAACCTTCTTACAGTCAGATCAGAAATAGAATACAGGACACGAGGACAAAGGAGGAAAAGAGAGCTTTCTTAGAGCATATGGAATTAAAATTAAAATTCACGGAATTTTCAAGTCAGCAACCGCTAGAACAGGACCTATGATGAGGAAATACCCATCCAGGACAGAAATAGACTACAAGGGGCTGGTCAGTCTTTCAGGTGCCTGGGCTCTTTCCAAATATCTTTGTAGGGTAACCTATTCTGGTGCTGGTTGGGGAAGATAGAAAGGTCATTTTGTCTCTGAGATGCATGAGACAGTTTTGGTGTTTGCCAAAATGTTGCGGATCTTCTGTTATCCATGAAGGCAGTATAAAGGTAATCTCAGACATCTCACTTCTTCTTCTTCTTGGGTCTCTGCTTAACTCAAGGGCCTTGTGATTGTCAGAGGCAGGACACAGTGACTGTAGCCAGCTGTACAAGGTGTCTCTGAGCTCACCCATTTCAAGGGTGAATCAATGGGAGCTGGTCCAAAACTTGCCAAGAACAGTGAAAGTCACTGCAACTTTTACATTGTCACTTATGACTAGTCATTAGAAGGCAGCTGATTGGGGATATATGAGGGACAATTATTCTTGGTGCAGTGCAGCCAAGAGTTATCCATTCTGGCCAAATGAGAAGAAGCTTAGCAAATTTAAGATACTTGATGTATACATCACTCAAATCCCAGACAGTTCAACTGATTGTTTTGTTCCCCTACTAATTGTTTTTTGCCCCTGGATTGTTCCTGACACCATGTTCAGAATGAATCAGTGGAGTGTAAAAATTATAGGACTCTTCTCTGCTAGCAAAGAAAAGTTGAGATTCCCAAAGACATTGTTTTTCTTTATTGAAACTGATTCCTTAGTGGAGACTCTTTTGAGTATCTTTTGTTCATTTTTCCTACAGGACGTTGACATAGATTGAAGCCCTGGTATGTTCCAGGCACTATGTTTGAGGTTAGAAATGCAACAAACAAACAAACCAAAACAGAAACACCAACCTGACACAGTCTTTACTTTTGAACAAGGGGTGTATAGTCCTCCCAGAGAAGCAAAGGGAAATGTGAGAAATGTTTAACATGTGGTTGATGTTATGGCAGATATCTATAGGGAAACAGTAGGACAAACAGGTAAGAATGGCCACTTCTATATGGAAGGAATGACGGCCCAGAGAAGGGGATCCAAGGTTTCTTGGATTTTAGGTCTCCTGTTTATAACTTAGGCATCCACTCTAGGCACTTCTGAAGAAGAATGAAGAAAATGTGTTGGGCATTCTCTATACAGGAATGGGATCCTTTTTGGATTAAGGAGCCCTGCGCCATTCACCATAACAACGTCAACACAGTCACTCAGTTTGCCATTCTCTCTCCAATTTTTATCATGTAGAAGCATTCTAGAATCAATTCTAAGCCTAGAATGGATCATTTGTACTAAATGTGTTAAGCCCAAGACAGTTCTTAAGGCTGTGTGTCCCAGTAGCTCAAACTGTGTTCTCTACTGGAACTTCCTTGGGGGTGAGTCGCTTGGTATCACCGGACCTACACATGAATGGGAGTGTTAGAAAGAAGCACTTGTGTATATACACTGAAGAAAGCGTAGATGGAATGCTGAAAACTGGAGTTTTCATGGCCCAGGTCAGACACTAGACACTACATCAAAATAGCCCAATGACCCAAGCAAAGTCAGCAACAGATACATCTAAGAGACAATTCCTGGACCAAAGTCATCAGCCAAAGATAAGAGAGTCAGAGAATAAGGCCTGGGAAGTAGAAAGTGTTTGTGTATATGATACTAAGATTAATTTGCATGGGTATATTTCTCTTATAGTAAAATTGGATAACTCCTGCTTCTACCCTCGTAAGAGTGCTTCTCCTGCTTGCGAAGATGAGCTACTCTAAATCTTGACGTCTACAAATCGGCTTGATATTGTATTTAGATTTTTTCATCATAATCTGCTGCTATTCTAAGATGTAGCTGTCTCTACCCATCCCAACTGTTTAGCTCTAGTTATTTTGGTTGGCTATTCGTAGTGATGTGAGAGACGTCTCCATGACCTAAAAAGCAAAGGCCTGTTTTAACTACTTAATTCTAATCAGATAGGTTGAAATTCTTTAAGGTTCTGGAAGACCACCTGCCATCCAGTGAAGTCCTGTGGGACAGAGGAAACAGTCTAGCTGATCTTTAGCCTGCTCTGGAGTTAGTCCTACTTAAGGAGCTATGATCACTTGACCTGGGACAACATCTTATCTTTGCTGGTATAGCCAAACTGTCTAGTTCGATTGGTGAGTGTCAAGTTCCAGTAAGGCAAAGCCAAGGGTCTGATTTATTTGAAGGTCATGGAGCTTAAATTTTAGAGCATTGCTGAATCTATGCACTTTCCTGAATGGCTTTTTCTAAACATATGCTGGCATTCGTTTGGCAAGAAAGAAAATAAAGCTCAGCACAAGTTCATCCCAATGTCAAGAAAAATAACCTACAGTACAGCATTTATCTGACGTATGCACCAGCTGAACATGAAAAATACAAATATTTTCACTTCTCTCCAGTGACTCTTGTTCCAGTGGGAAAGGCATGCAGCTGCTGCTCCTGTCCACTCAGGGCCTCCCTTTTTAGGCAACCTCCTGTGTGATTCTGGGTAGCAGCAGTAGCAGCAGCAGCAGCAGCAGCAAATGATTCTGCCTGGAAAGGGTGAGACACCAGTCTTCAATGAGGCTGGATTGTGTCACTGAAATGCTACATATATGCCACATGGAAATCCTGGCATAGGAAAATGGCAGGGTTGGCAGAGGCCAGGTGTGGTGGCTCATGCCTGTAGTCCCAGCACTTTGGGAGGCCGAGGTGGGTGAGTCACCTGAGGTCAGGAGTTCAAGACCAGCCTGGCCAACATGGCAAAACCCCATCTCTACTAAAAATACAAAAATTAGCCGGGCTTGGTGGTACATGCCTGTAATCCCAGCTACTCAGGAGGCTGAGGCACGAGAATCACTTGAACCTGGGAGGTGGAGGTTACAGTGAGCCAAGATCATGCAGTTGCACTCCAGCCTGGGTGACAGAGTGACTCTGTCTCAAAAAAACAAAAACCAAAAAAAAAAAAAAAAAAAGAAGAAGAAGAAAAGAAAATAGGGAAAATAGTAGGGTTGGCGGATACCATTAGTGTTACCTGTACCTCATTCCTGTTTTGGTAAATGAGGAATTGGAAGCCCTGAGAAGTTAAGTCAATATCAGTTTAACTTGGAATAGCTATAGAATGGTTAGAATTCCTGATTCCTAATCCATCAGGCTTTCCATTACATTGAGAAGCCTTTCCCTCATATGTACTGTGATATACATATACTAGATGGTTTTTAAA